GGGGGGGGGTGGGTGGAGGGAGCGACAAGCAGTTACAGGCTGGAGAACTTCCCGACGGCCAGAGAGTTACCAGGTCAGGTTTGCGTCCCGAGATCCGGGAGGGAAAGCCAGAAAGGGGTCTGGGACGGGAGGGTAGGGAGGGTAGAGACAGAGAAGTGCGCTGGGGGGTAAGTACCCCCGCGCGGCTCACCACGCCCGGACTAGGCCGTCGGGTCCGAAGTACGGGAGCAGAGGCCGCGTGATCTAAGCCGGCGGCCGGACGTGGGTCACGGGGTGCAGAGGAGGAAGTGCCGCCGCCGGGCCCGCCAAGATGTCACCAATGGGAAACGCGTTCCTGCAGGTGCGGCCCGCGCGGTCGACCAAGGCAGGAAGTGGGGGTAGGAGAGAAGAAAGCAACGGGGAAGACAGTTCTCAGTGAGTTCTAGAAAAGAGCCAGGCAGCAACCGGTCAAAGTCCACAGTACCAGCTACTGGAGAGGGGAGGGAGCGTGGAACAGAAACCATCAAATTAAAAACAAGTGATCTCCGAAGGAGGTTAGATTCTACAGTGGAAAGGTGGAAGCAATATTTTGTACATTTGAACATGGACTCACCTATTTTAAGACAACTTTAAAAATACAGTTCATAAAATAGTTGCTTGTCAGCTATAAATTTTATGAAACTTAAATTCTACTTCAAATGAGCCACTAGAATTATAAAGTAATCGTGGTAATGGGCAGTGACTATTTTGTTAAAAAATTAGAAAATAAATTTTGTTTTGTTATTGTGGATTTCTTTATTTCTTGAAAAGACCCTCATTGGTTTGGGGTGGTTGTGGCTCAGCGGTAGAGCTAGCTAGTAGGCGTAGCAAGTGTGAGGCCCTGGGTTTGATCCTCAGCACCACATAAAAATAAAGGTATTGTATTCAACTAAAAAATAAATTTAAAAAAAGACCCCTCATTATTAAGAATAGAAATATTTACAGTTGAAACCTGGTGATGTATATGTTTATTTTCATTATACTTTCATTTGACATTTAAAAACCGTCTTGGGAGAAAGGATGGTGCACTTAACCACTAGGCCACATCCCCAGCCCCTCTTAATATTTTGTTTATAGACAGGTTCTCACAAATTGAGGAGGCTGACTTTGAACTCCTGCTCCTCCTACCTCAGCCTCGAGGGCGGCTGGGATTACTGTCATTTTTAAAAGAAAAAAGTTTTCAGAATTATTTACTAGAGACAATCACCACTTTGTATGAGTTATAGGGAAAAGGTACTGAGAATATTGTGATGCAGAAGGGAAACTCACAACAGTAAATCAGCCAGTCCTTCCACAGAATAGCTCCAAGGGGCGGTGGTGGTGGTGGGGGGGAACGACATGGCATTTATCCATCGAAAAGCTTTTCAAGATTTCAAGGACAAAACAAGTCAAGGGACATATTTTGCACCCGCCCCCCCACACACACACACATAGGGGTTGAACCCAGGAACATTCTATCTCTGTGCTATACCCCTAGCCCTTTTTATTTTGAGACAATATTTCCCTACATTCTTACATTGCCCTGGCTGGCCTTGAACTTACCATCCTTCTACCTATACCTGTGTGTGCTGCTGTCCAAGCAGATTTGGCTCTTGATTCAAACTGGTAAATATTTGTAGGGCAATAAGGGAAATTTAAACATTGACTAGAAATTTACACTTTAGGTCTGACAGAATTGTTTTAAAAAATGAGGAAGTTAATTTTTAAGATACATCCTGAAATAGTCTGATTTTTTACTTTTGAATGTTTGAAATGATATAAAAAATAACAAGCTATCAACCCTAATTCCTTGCTTATTCTTAATATAAAGGATTCTAAGGCTTCAAAATCCATCTATCTAAGTGAGAAAAATACTAAAAATTCCCACGTTCAAGAAGTGAAACAATATTGTGAAGGAAATTTAGTCATAAAATTGGCTTGTTTTCAGAAAGAGTGCTCTACTTGGTAATGGTCTTAACTGATAAGCATTCTTTAAGTGTGCTTCTTAAAGTCCTCTTTCAAAAATACATTCTTGGTAATTTATATGATCAGTTTGCATTTTACCATGTATTTCATCTGAATGTATTTGTTACACTTGAGTGGTTTTTTGTATGCCTTAAATTAACAGTTTTGTGACTAAGTCAAGGCAAGTGTTATTATCAATCAAGTTATGTTTTTTCTTGTGAGGGTAAAGAGGAAGAAAGAATATGTGCAAATGACTTGAGCCAGGGAAGAGGACTGCAGTCTGAGTACAATTAAAGGAGGCTGAAGACAAAGATTCTTTTTCTTTTGTACTAGGAATTGAACCCAGGGGCAGTTAACCACTGAGCCACATCCCTAGCAATTTTTATATTTTATTAGAGATAGGGTCTTGCTGAGTTGCTTAGGGCCTAAGTTGCTGAGGCTGGGTTTGAACTCGGGGATCCTCCTGCCTCAACTGGAATTATAGGCATGCGACACTGTGCCTGGCCAGACAAGATTCTTCATATCCTTGAAGGCCCACTGTGACATTTTATATTCTAGGATCAGTGGAAAGTTTTGCTTTTTAGAACAATTCAGGTGCTATATGAAAATGAATGGTGCACAGGGAGCAGTGGTGCATGCTTGTGATGAAGCAGGAGGACTGAAAGTTTTAGGCTGGCCTCAACAGTTTAGTGAGATCCTAAGCAATATTTTATATCACTTCAAACATGTAGCTCAGTAGTAAAGTGCCCCTGGGTTCAATCATGGTATACCCCCAAAAGAGAGACTGGTGAGAACTGGAGAAATGTGAAAGATTTTGAGTGACAGGCAAAAAAAGGTGCCTAACTTTAAAAGAGATTTGACTATTCAGCAAAAAAATGTGCACTTATAAGATGGTGGGAAAGACGGGCATAGACCTTTATAAGTCTACAGAAGAGTGGAATATAGGAAATCAATAAATGACAAGTTTTGATGGGGATTAACTCAGATTGGGGTTCTGTGTGAGTGATGGGGTGGAAAACAGTAATAGAATTTCATGTGGAATGAAGGTAAGCATCCCCCTCTCCCAAATAGTTATGGTTTAAATATAGAAGGTGGAAGCTCAAATATAATGTTTTCCCTTTGTACCCTGCCTATCTATTCCTCCCGGACACTTGTTAGAAATTTTTATTTTTCATATAGCCCCTTGTCACATGGTTCCTTTGTATTAATATTTTTGTGGTAAATTCTTTGGGATACAGTATGTGCTGCTCGTATTTGTTCTCCATATGAGGTTGGATGGGTCTGAGGAATAATTTCATGGTGGTATAGTATATGAGCAGAACCTAGCCTATTTATTTATTTGTTTATTTATTTCATTGTAGTTGGACACAATACCTTTATTTTTATGTGATGCTGAGGATCGAACCTTGGGCCTCACATGTGTGAAGCAAGCGCTCTACCACTAGAGCCACAACCCCAGCCCCTAGACTATTTATTATTACTGTCTTCTGATTCTGCCAGAAATTGTATTTAATGGCCTCAAAAATTCTCTTCCAACCCAGCAATATTTTTAAAGTCCCAATAAACATATCATGCAAGTCTGGACCAGCTTCATCAAAAACATGTACCCACATACATCATTATACTTAACTTTTCAGGGGGCTGATGGATCTGAAATGAGGAGTCTGAGCCAATCCATACACAACACTATCATAAGAGTTATAAAGGCCCAAGTTGCTATTGTTTCATTATGCTAACATTTCAAATTTTACTCCATCACTACATTTTTATCCAAAGGGAATGTCATGATGCACTATTTTTTAACTCTGAGGAGGCCCTTTATTTAGTATACTAAGTTAAATCTGGGATAATACTACTGTTTTCTTCAGTGTTCATTTCTTCAATTTTACCTTACACTATATTTTTTGCATATCTGTATTAAGGGGCTGGGGCTCAGTGGAAGTGCACTTGCCCAGCATGTGTGAGGCACTGGGTTCAATTCTCAGCACCACATAAAAATAAATAAAATAAAGATCTGTCAACAATTAAAAAAATATTTAATAGGAAAAACTTAAAAAAAAAAAAAACAAAAAAAAAAACACCACCACCAAAAAGCTTTACATCTGGGATTAATGTACTTACTGCTGAAGTACATCCCCAGTCATTTTTGAGATAAGGTCTAGCAGTTGCTCAGGCACAGTTGTAACCTGTGCCTCAGCCTCCTGAGTTGCTGGGACAACTAGTGCCTAGCTCGTCTTAAATTTGTTCTCCACTGAGAGAAAAATTTCCTCATTTGGATTCATATTGGTAGTTCTCTTACCCCAGATAGTAAAATCACAGCATACCTAAGAAACATGTTTAGATTCAACTAAAGAAAATACAACTGAAAGAAGCATTGGTGGGGATAAGGATCCTAAACTACCATGGCCTGAGTCAAGGTTCCTTTACCCTTCTCCCCTGAGCAAAATCACTAAGAGCAGTCAGATCCTGGAGCTAGGCAAGCCTCAAGAAGTCTGTGGTTTGGGTTCCTTGTCTCCAGAGAGACCTCTGCAATGCCAGCCCATAGTCCCTTCAGAAAAGTTGTTCCTCGGGGTCTAGGAGGGATGGGCTTCCTCAAAAAAGCCTTCACAGAAATCTGACACTTTATCTTGTCTCTCATACTACCCACACCAAGAGTCCAGACAGGAACTATAGCTCCTAGTGATTCCTTGTTTCTAACTTCAAAAGAACACAGCATTCTGTCCTGGGGGTTGCCATAGAGAAAAGGAGGAGGAAAAGAACTTAGAAACTTGGCAATGAAAAGAGTGAGGGGCTCTAGCTCCCAGAGAAAAATACATATTTCTATCATAGGCAGGCTTCAGGAAGCAATTTGTGCTGAACAAAACCATAAATATTTTAATAGGAAAAAACCCAATCGAAACCATGAGTAATTTCAGATACTCCATTACAGAATTTTTAAAAACTTTCTGAGCCTGGTGAGGTAGTGCACACCTGTAATCCCAGTGACTCAGGGAGGCTGAGGCAGGAGGATCTTGAGTTTAAACCCAGCCTCAGCAACTCATCAAGACCCTGCCTCTAATAAAATATAAAAAAGGACTGGGGATGTGGCTCAGTGGTTAAGCACCCCTGGGTTTGATCCCTGGTACCAAAAACAGACAAATTTCTGCTACCATAGATCATTAAATTCATCCCCAATTACTACCAGAGGGGGGGGGACCCTTATTGATACAAAGGAAGAGTGGCCTAGAAAAATCAAGTGGAAAAAATAATCATGAAACAGAGGGAGGGGGAAAAAACATAATGGAGTAGAGATTTAGAGAATATACTTTTTCAAGTCAGTTTTTCTCTATAATTTAAAAGTTTCACCAACATATGGCTGGATTGTGTTCTTTTAAAAATATACTGATAGAGCCAAGCTTACTGGCACACGCCACTGCCTAGTGGCACAGTGCCAATTGCTCAGAATGGCTGAGACAGGAGGATCACAAGTCTGAGGCCAGCCTGGGCAACTAACTTAGTGTGATACCCTATCTAAAAAGAAAAAGGGCTAGCAACATAACTCAGCAGGGGAGCGCTTACCTAGGATTAGAGAAACTTTGAATCCAACCCCCAGCACCACACATACACACAAAAGCAGAAGAGGAGCTTAGACAAAAGAATGGAGTTGTCAATGATGGATCGTTTTTTTTGGTTTTTTTCTTTTTCTTTTTTTTTTTTGCAGTGTATATATATATCTACAGTTAAGACTTAAAAAAAGACAGACAAAAATTTATAAAGTCAGCACCGCATGAGATGTCTTGTAATAGAAAGGGCATACTTTCTAATAAGAATTTAGGGGTTATAAATTTTAGTATACCTTTTTTTCCTTAATAATTATTTGCTGCCTTCTCTGTCTCAAGAAATCACATGGATATTTCACTAACTTACAATGTTCTGTTGCTTTGACCTGTACTTTTACACTTAGATTTATAATCAACCTGAAACTGATTTTCCATTTCCAAAAGTTAAATTTACTCACAAACTCAAATGCCAAAATCCTAAGCAAATGTTAGCTCAAATCCAGCAATACACAAAGCAATAACATTATGCCAATTTGGATTTCAGGATTGCAAATGTACTCAACCCATTTCAAGGTCATCACTGCAATTTAACACTTATCAATGGAGATAAAGTATGAAGTAAGGTAATTTTTAAGTGTTTTATAAGACCTACTAAGTTAATGTGTCAAGAAATAATTAGAAGGGCTAGAAATGTAGCTCATTATTAGAATGTAGGGACATATTAACCAGTATGAAGGGCTCCCACTGGCCAGACACTGGATCACTAGAGAATCAAAGAATCTAAAAGATGCCTGAATTACAACACATCCTAGAGGGGCACGCCTGTAATTCCTGCAGCCAGGAGGCCAAGACAGGAGTTCAAAACCAGCCTCAGCAAAAGCAAGGCACTCAGTGAGACCCTGTCTCTAAATAAAATACAAAATAGGGCTGGGGATGGGATGCAGCTCAGTGGGCAAGTGTCCCTCAGTTGTTCAATCCCTCATACAACATCAACAAACATGTCCTGTATGTTAAAATCTATGACTTCATGATGAGACTAGAAAAATTTTCCACCTTTGGCACATGGTAGGGATTAGAAATCCACTTCATTATGCTGAATATTGGTAAGCATAAAAAAGAAATCAATCTAGGGGCTGGGGTTGTGGCTCACTGGTAGAGTGCTTGCATGCCATGCATTAGGCACTGGGTTCAATCCTCAGCACCACATAAAAATAAAGATACTGTGCCTACCTAAAACTAAAAAAATAAATATTGAAAAAAAAAAAAGAAAGAAAGAAAGAAAAAAGAAATCAAACTGGGCACTGTGGCACATGCCTGTAACTCCAGCAACTTGGGAAGCTGGGGCAGGAGAATCACACAAGTTTTTGGCCAGGCCTTAAACAACTGAGTGAGACCCTGTCTCTACTGCCCCAGTACCAAAAAGGGGAAGAAAACAAACAAACAAACAAACAAACCCTCAACTGGCCCTTCAAATAGAAAGTATAGCTAGGAATGGTGACCTAAACCTGTAATCCCAACTACTCAGAACAATTCAGCAAGACCCTATCTCAAAATAAAACAAAGTACATCTTAAAAGTAATCAAATGATTAATAAAAGAAAATTGATCACTTTAAGATGTATTTTATTTTGATGACTAAAATTATAAGGCTGGGTATGTGCTCATGATTAAGCACCCATAGGTTCAATCCCTGGTAACCCCTCATCCAAAGAAGGAATATAAAAATTAAAATAAAGCTAATTTGTGAAGCAAATTGTTATATGCATTTGTGAACATGACAGTGAACCCCACTCTTATGCATAACTATAATGCATTAGTAAAAACACTTAAAATACATCACTATTTGGAAACCACTGAAAAAACCAAGGGTCTAGGCAACAATCAGCAAGAGTTACATCATAAAAAAAAACACTAATGAATTAAAGCCACTGGCAGGACCACAGCACCTCATGTGAAGTACACTTTACAAACTCATCAAAATCAGAACACCTTATACAGGTCTACTACCATTTTATAGGAAATACAAAATGCAGAGACTTAAAAACATCATAGTAATGTAATAAACACCCAGCACGGAAAAGGAAACTTTACAATGGATCAACCCGACATGTTCAACAAATGTCGAAGGGAAGATCTTTTAAGGGATGCTTTAGATCACTAACATATAGCAGCCACTTACCACAGTAGAAATGTGATAGGTATAAAATTGATATGTGCTATTAAGAGCAAATTCATCCTGGGCTTTGAAGGTGTCACATGAAAGGAAAACTCGCACTATATTTCTAGTGGATAGTATTTGCTCTTAAGAAATAGGATAATAAGACATTTTATATCTACCAAATATAAGGTGTGACCTTGTTTTGATCCTGACTCAAACTAACCACCTATATAGAAATATTTAAAGCTGGATGGGGCTGTAGCTCAGTGGTAGTGCTTGCCTAATAGGCTGGAGGACCTGGGTTCAATCCCCAGCACAGGGGGGGCTGAGGATTAATGCACAATACTTTTGAATTAAATACCTGGTGTCAACAAGTGTGATAAGGGTATTATTGTCTGCGAGCCTTTAGAAAAGGGAGGAATGTTCATGAATAAGATTTACAAGGTGAGGATAGGGGCCCAGGCATAAGTCTGTCCCTGTCAAACCTAAGTCCCAGTTCTCCACCCGCCCCAACTACAGGATTAATAATAATCCCCTTTAGAGTAGTTATAAGCACCTGATCAGAAAATGGGTTAAATTACCTAGCTCTGTGCTTGGTAAGGGGTTAATTATGGTTAAATACCACGCCCCTCTCCTGTCTCTAGGTTGGCAATGATTGGCCACAGGGGATTAAAAAAAAAAAATCACTCTTTACACAATATTTTCTCTTAAATCAATTTATATTTTTACCTTAATATTTTATGCTTAAAAGCTCTGTAACACCATCCTGAAATGAAAATTGGAGTCACTTGCAGCTTAAAAAAGAAAAGAGGCTGGGTTTGCAGCTCAGTGATAGAGCGCTTGCCTAGGACGTGTGAGGCACGGAGTTCAATTCTCAGCACCACATAAAATAAAATGTAGGTCTATCAACAAAAAAAAAATAAAATTTAATTTAAAAAAAGGGCTGGAGGGGGCGGGAACTTTTGTAATCTCAGCTACTCTCAGCTGACACAGGCTGACCGGGTCTCGAAATTAAAAGGGCTGAGAATATAGCTCAGGGGTAAAGCACGCCTGGGTCCAATCTCTAGTGTTACACAAAACAAACAACAAACGCAATCACTTAATAATCATTAAAAATAGAAATTTAGCCTAACTGCATGACCAATGTGATTCGGCAACCTGTATATTCAGAAAAATGAGAAATTATACCCCATCTGATCCAAATGTATCATACGTCAGGATTAAAAAAAAGAAATTTAGCCGAGTGTGGTGGCGTAATCCCAGAGACACGGGCACAGGCAGGAAGATCCCAAGTTCAAAACCAATTTAGAAGACCCTGTCTCAAAATTAAAGAATTATTAAAAGGCTCAGTGGTTAAGCGCCCCTGTTTCAATCCCCTGGTACCAAAATATAAAAAAATTAAAAGGACTGGTGTTTTAACTCAGTGTTCAAACTCCCTCCCCCACAAATTTAGTGGGAGTGACAGCAGTGTGTTGGGGTCGATCGAACAACAAATAGAAATCTACTCTTCTTCATTTATTATTTTTGATACTGGAAGACTGAACCCAGGGCGCTCTACCACTGAGCCACATCCCCAAATCGTTTTTAAGTTTTTATTTCGAGACGGGGGTTACGCTAAAATTGCCTAGGTTGGCCTGAAACTTATGCCTCAGCCTCCCAAATCGAATCGCTAGGATAATAGGGGTGCGCCACAGGGGCCCCGACTACTTTTATTTTTAAATAAAATAAATCTTTCCAGAAATTAGCACTGAAAAAACCACTTCTTACTTAAAAACACCAATACATCTTTGTCTAACCTGAGGTATTTTCATTCTTATTAGAAACTTAGAAATATTTAACTTTTAAAAACTTGATCACAGTGGACAGAACGAATTATATTAACCGACACTCTTCGGATGACTTCTGACTTAAAAGATCCAGTCTTCAAACTCCCAGCCCGCCAGGTCAGCGCCGCCCGCACCCCTCCCCCCAGCTATCCAGCCGCCCGCGACACTGGCGGCTGCGGCAGGCTCCGCCACATGGCCCCTCCGCGCGCCCGCCCCAGCGTGCTCTGGGCCCCGGCGGCAAGCAGAAGCCCCCGGCGACCCACCGCAGTTGTGAAAACTGGGAGACCTACTCCCTAGTCCTAACTGCCTGCGGAAGGCAAAGCCGCTGCCCCGGTCCCTGCGGGAGGGAGGCCGCGGGCCCTTAGTCCCGACCCGGACCGGCGCGTAGCAGGGCGGTATTCTCGCGGGCACCTGGAGACGCGAGAGGAGATTCTTACGCACCCAGGGGCGGTCTGGAAAATTAGCCCAGAGAGTGGTCGAGCCCCGAGCGGCCGGCCATCTCCGGGACGTTCTGGGAGGGAGGAGGCGAAGGTGCAGCCGAGCCCAGGCCGAGCACACAAGTTCCTGGGAGCAGCGAGGACCAGCAAAAATATTCAAAAACACAAAGAAGTAGATCAAAAGCAAGAAGAAGTGACCAACTAAGATCCTGAGTCAAATATTTTCACTCAAAACGCAATTACGATACCTCTAGGAGCCGGGGACAAACGCAGAGACCGGCGCTCCGGGAACACGCGCCGCCACGAGGAGGAAGAAAAGGCCGCGGGCACTGCAAGCGGAGGCTCGGGCCCGGCGTGGGAGGGGGGCGGAGTCGGCCTCCCTCCCCCAAGTCTTGTGCAACTCGCAGCGGCTCCAGCCACGTGAGCGTCCGCTTTCATTTCAAAGAGCTCTCCAGGACTCAGAGGGTCCCGGGCTTGCCCGGAGGACTTACTCTCGCAGGCGAACGTAGGTTTATACTCGCCGCCGGCAAAGAGAGGCCGAGAAACCCGCCAGCCCAGTCCCAGGGCATGCGGCCTTCGGCAAACCACCGCTCCCAAACCCCGAGTCCCAGTCAAGGGATGGGCCTCGAGTGTGAGGCCTTGGCCATAACTCATCTGACCCCAAATTCCAACCCCGCAGTCCTACCCTAGTGGGACCAGTCCCCTGTAGGCCTCTGGTGTGCGCCCCTAGACCTCGGATCCCGCCTCCCTGACCACAAATCCCAACCTCACCGGCCCACTCCAGTGGGACCAGTCCGCATTCCGCCTCGGGTGTGCGCTTGCAGACCTCAGAACTCGCTTCCCTAACCCCAAATCCCAATCATGCGGTACCATCCCCAATGGGCCCAGGGCCTCCCACCCCACCTCAGAGTGCGGTCCTACGCCACGGATCTCGGATTCCGCCTCCCTGACTCCAAATCCCAATCCCAAATTCCCACCGCTAGAGAGTCCAATTCCTGGTCGGCTTGGTTGTTTGGCCCTAGACTTGGACCCCCAGTCGCCCGTCTGGTCGGCCCTCACCTTGGGCGCCGATTCTCCACGCTCCCGCTCTCACACCCAACACCTAGGTCGTCCCCCCCCGAGCACCTAGAGGAGGGTGGAACGCGGGGGACTTGGCAGTTGTAGTTGAGGCAGTTGAGGCTTGTTTACCATTACCATGGAAACCCCCGGCAGCGCGCTCGGGGCGGGGCTTCCAAGGGGCGGGGTTAGGCGCGCGGCAGGCCCGGGTCTTCGGCTCCCGCCCGTCGAGCGCACGCGGCGCTTCCGGAAGCTCACCTGCTCCCGGCGTTCCCAGCCCAGGCCTGGCCCCACACCCCGGATACTCGGAAAACAATCACCCGAGGGGCCCACGTCCCCGTCCCACTGCCAGCTGCCGGCGTAACAGCGAACTGGCGTCCCTCGAACCCCACCTTCTTCAGGAAGACACGGCGCAGTCCTGCTTCCACGACGGAGCCGGAAGGACGCAAGGACCAGGACGGGGTGGAGCCTCCGCGGCAGACGTCGAAGGGCGAGACCGCGACGGCGCCATTGTGACGCGCCCAAATCGGAGCCGAGGATTGGCCAGTCGGGGGTGGGGCGGGGTCAGGGAAGTGGGCCCGTCTCTCGCGGGGGGGGGTGAGTACAGTGGCGGCGCAGGCGCGATTGCTGGAGGGAGGTCCCAGTGACCGATCACCGACCACTGGAGGACACTGATCACTGGGTGAGCCGTGCTGTTCATCGAATCGGAAGCCCAAAGGAAGTTTGATTTAGAGATCAGCGTGGGAGAAGAAAATGAGAGCTCTTATTCAGGAAGAAAAGAAAGCACATAAAGCCATCTTTGAAAGACAGGGCCGGAGGAAGGATTTATCTGGTCGAAGATGCTCACGTGATATAATCACGTGGGTTGAGAAGACCCCCCCAGCCTTAGAACGTGATTCAGAAGATCCCGGAGGAGTGCAGGGTTTTTAGTCATAGAGCACTTGAGCTTGACACACTTGGTGGATAATGGCCTAAGGCAGAGGGACAAATTTTCTTGATTTGGCTAGGGCTAGTAATTATTACCATTGTATTTTGCGGTAGTGTCATGATAAGATGTCAGGGCATTTACCACAGGTTAAGCTGAAAATTTTTTAATCGGAAAAATTAAAGGATTCGTAAAATAGTGTCAGATTACCAGTAGATGATGATCATAAAGGAAGGATCAGTGTTTCAAAAGAAAAAAAAAAGCTGATTTCAGGAAACAAGAAGTGTAAAAACAACTGTCAAAAGGTGGGAAATGTTGGGGCTGGAGTATAGATAAATGGAGGAGCCCTTGCTTTGAATGTGTGAGGTCCTGGTTCCATCTCTAGCACCTGGAGGGGAAAAAAAAAAAAAAACAGGTGGCCAGGTAGTGCAGGCCTGTAATCCTGGCTACTGGGGAGGTCGAAGCAGAAGGGACATGACTTCGAGGCAATTTAGCCAGGCCAGGTCTCAAAAAATAAAAAGGGCTGCAAGGCTAAGTGGTTTAAGCCCTACTGGATTCAATCCCCAGTGCCACAAAGAAAAAGAAGTGATTTGAAACAAAATTGTAAAAAAACAGGTCCTACAAAAATTAGGAATTCTTGGAGCTATAGCTCAGTTGATAGAGTACTTGCCTAGCATGCACAAAACCCTGGGTTCAATCCCCATCACCACACACACACAAATTAGATATTTCTGTTCTAAGCAAGAGCTCTACCACTGACCTACATCCCCAAAACCCAGATAGGAATTCAAAATAAGAAACTTTAGAATAATTCCATTACAGCTCATACTAAGGAATAATCTCTGGAGAGAAAATGTCAAATCAGTCAAATATCAAGAAACATGTACTCCCCCCAAAATCAATGCTTATAGGTGGCACATGCCTATGGTTTGGGAGGCTGAGGATCACAAGTGCAGAAGTCAGCCTCAGCAATTTAATGAGGCCCTAAGCAACTCAGCAAGACCCTGTATCTAAATAAAATTCAAAAGAGGGCTGGGGATGTGGCTCAGTAGTGAAGTGTCCCTTGGTACAATCCCTAGTACCAAAAAAAAAAAAAAATCGCTTTAGGATTTGGTGACTACTAAATAAGCTCCAAGAAGTTGTGTTTATATAATCTTTCTGTAATATAATCTTCCTTTATAAGAGGGCCTTTGAGCCAAATAGGTTCTTGGATCCTCTCATGTCTGCAGTTATGCATAGTCTGGGGTGATCCTCTCTGAATGCAAGACTAGGGCCTTGAGGCTCCTGCTGGTCCTAGGGGTCCATCCCTGGTGTTTACTGTGATATCTTTTTCAGCATTGAACAGTCACATAGAGGAACTCTTCCAGAGTGATGGCTGGAATCACTCAAGACTGGTGCTATGGGTCCAGGCCTTTTCCACAAATGTTTGGCCTGTTCTGACCAACTGCCAAATCTTTATTTTACATCTCCATAAACGTGTCTCCTCTAAAGGGCTGGGGCTGTGGCTCGTGATAGAGCACTTGCCTAGCATGTGTGAGATACTGGGTTCAATTCTCAGCACCACAGAAAAATAAGTAAATAAAGATATTGTACCAACTACAACAACAACAAAAAAGTGTCTCCTCTTAGCTGTGAAATCTAATCAGATGTATTTAAAGTGAAAGCACCCACACAAAGATGCACCTGTGAGATTTGTGGTTTAAAAAACAATTGAAGGACTGGGGTTGTGGCACAGCGATAGAGTGCTTGCCTCGTGTAGGGCACTAGGTTCAATCCTCAGCACCACATACAAAAATAAGTGAAATAAAGGTCTTGTGTCAACTAAAAAATAAATATTAAAAATTGAATTCTTTACAAATGAAGATCATTTCAAGATGCTGCCTCTTAAAGATTGACCTGCCTGTTTATTTGCTATACATAAATATATTTTTAAATTTAGTACCATTCAATAATTTTTTTCAGTTTATTTCCTTCCCGCCCCCACACTGGGGATTAAACCCAGGGGCACTCTACCACTGAGCTCTACCACTCTACCACTCCCTTCTCTATTTTTGAGAAGGGTCTCAATAAATTACTGAGACTGGCTTCAAACTCATTTCCCTCCTGCCTCAGCCTCTTAAGTCATTGGGATTGCACCTGGGTACTACCATGACTGGCAGTATTTTCAGTTAAAAAAATATTGCTGGGTGTTGTGGCGCACGCCTGTAATCCCAGCAGCTGGGGAGGCTGAGGCAGGAGGGAAATGAATTTGAAGCTGGTCTCAGCAAAAGCAAGGTGCTAAGCAACTCAATGAGACCCTGTCTCTAAATAAAATTCAAAATAGGGCTGGGGATGTTGCTCAGTGGTCAAGTGCCCTTAAGTTTCAATCCCTGGTACCAAAAAAATAAATAAATAAATTTTTTTTTCCTTGAGCCAAGGTATATAAGTTTAGTGGCAGAGTGCTTGCCTAACATGAACAGGCCCTAGTTTTAGATCCCTAACACTGCAAAAATAAAGAAACCAGACAAGGCTGTGACTGCTGAATTTACCTGCTTCCCTCCTGGGTTATCTTATACTTCATCTCTGCCTACTAGAGCATCTGACCCTAGGGAGAAAGGTAACATATGGACAGAACCTATTCTGTCATGATTGGACAGTTAGTTCACTTTCTCAAGTCCTTCATTGTCCTCTCAAACAGGAAAGGAAAACAGAGAAAGGGCTTATAAAAGCCAGTCTGAAAGTCACTAGGATGTACTGAGTAGTGGTTCAGAGTACAGATCCTGAGGTTGGGCACAGTGGTGCATGTCTGTAATTCCAGTGACTCAGGAGGATGGCAGGTTTGAGACCAGTTTCAGCAATTTAGCAAAGTGAGACTCTGCCTCAAAAAAAAAAAAAAAAAAAAAAAAAGGTCAGATGGCTAAGGATGTAGCACTGTAAAGTACCCCTGAGTTTAATCCTTACTACCAGAGTATACACCCTGGAACCAGAAAGCAACATCCTTAACCCTATGCTCAGACCTTCCATCTAAAAACCTTTGGAAAATACAGCTTGGTGCCTTATTTCTTCTACTAAATGAAGATGAGTTCTTATACACCTACTTCTGAGTTCTTATATGGTTTAAATGAGATTAAGACAAGTCAAAGCACATTGAATGTGAAATATCTTAGCTACTATTACTGCTATTTAACAGATACTGGTTTTAACAAGAAACTTCTCTTGAATCTGTCCTGGGAAGGTGGGAGAAGTGTCAAAGCTTAATAGGTAAAGTGATTTTTCAATGGCTATGAACTGGAACATTTTCAGACTCAAGATACTCCAAATCTCTGAACCATCTATTATGGATGAGTTGTTTGTAGAGAAGAGTTGTGGT